CCCCAAAACCCCAAAACCCCAAAACCCCTATATCGTTTTAAAAATTGAAAGATCTAGTATTAAATTATATATTTTTATAAATATGGAGGAAAACTTCGAAGATCATTCTGAATCAGAGGTAGGAATCTGCTAATTTTTCGTATTAATTCTTCTTGTGAAATATATTGATGAAAATATGAGATTACTAGCATTGAATTCATTAGAAAATATTCAAAAGATCATGCACGCCAAAATTGTTGCTTAAATATTGATGTAGGATACTCAGACTGAGAATTCAGAGGTAGAGGAAGGCATTGAGAACCTTGATGACACAAAGTAAGTCATCTTTTTACTTCATAGAGAAGAGACAAAGGATGAAAACACTTTTAATGAAAGCAGTGAATCAGGTATTTCAGCCAATTCATATTATAGATACCCCAAAATCTGGAAGAAAGAAAATTAAGCTTAAGAGAAAGAAGAAGAGTAGAGGAAAGCAATACTCACCAACTAAAGACATAGAGATGTCTGCAAATTTTGAGAACAAACCTACTAGGACTGGGAATTTTAATGATTTTGGTCTTCATGACCCTTCAGAAGAAGAAGCTGAGATAAACTTATTACATCAAGGGAAGAATGTGATAAAGCTGATTCCCTTCAAGATTCTTCTGTTTATCATCCTTCTATACTTCATCAGCTTCTTGCTCCTCCTGCTAGGCTGTACTAAAGATATACAATCCTTAGGCTCTATGTATAAATATCTTTGTTGGATTATGAGTTTAATATAGCGTTGCTTCCAGGGCTGTACTATACATTTAAAATTATCCGAGTAGCAAGAGAGAAAGACCCAAAGAGGAGAGAAAGCATGGCTAATCAGATTATCTAGATGTTTATTAATCCCATCTTGATTCTCCATTTTACAGGAATTTATGGACAAGCATTATTAAAAATTAGGTGATAAGAAGAGTTTTAGTTCACCGGGAGTTATTCAATCCTCTTTCTTGAGCTTGGGGTTTTGGGGTTTTGGGGTTTTGGGGTTTTGGGG